TAAAGCAACAAAAGAAGGTTGGCCGACTCCTTTAAAAAAGTCGTGCATTATTGTATTTTATCAGCTTTCTTATCGTTTCACGCGTTTTCTTTTAACACATTAGCTTTACGTCCCTGTTGCACAAACGTAAGCAATGACGTCTTTGTATCTCCCCTCAGCTCTATATAAGAGCAAGAGTTTGCAATGAAATAAGGCAGAACGAGTTTGGCCATAAAAATTGCCTGTTTACTCTCTCCCTCTAGCTAGCTAGTTGTAAGGCTTGGATCCACTGATCCTGGAGGCCACAATCATTTTCAATATAATCAAACGCACGGAAGGAAGCTACAATCATCAAGCGATCATCAAAAGGCTCAGAATTTCATCAGAAGAGCAAGTCAGGTATGTCTGATAATCCTACCTCAAGTTATTTTGACTATTTAAACAAGAATGATAATGAAAACTACTTCTTAGATGGTGTTATAGACATTAAGAAAATTAGAGAAAAAACTAATTTTACTATTTCAGAAACTCAGAACTTTATCACTAAGTCTTTTTTATCAAAGCTCTTCGATAGAGAAAACATTATTAAATATGGTAAAATGATAGGTGAAGTAGCGGTCCCTATTGATCAAACTAAGGGTGATTTCCTAATCCAAGTAATAAATAAAGAACAAATCAGAAAAAGATTAGCTAAACTAAGATCAGAAGAACGAAATAAAATAGCTTATATTCATATTAGTACAATTCAAATTATATTAAAATCAACCATGAAAATAGGAATTGACGCACCCATGGAATTAGAAATTCGTGATGATAGGCTCCTAAACGAAGAAGAAAGTATTATTGCTAAAGGAACGGGAAATTTAGGAGTAGGAATAATTAAATTCGACATTAACCTGCAACAAGGATTAAGCCTGGCAGATGGTAATCTTGACTCTTCTATCATTATAAAATACGAATTAAAAAGAGAAAATTTTATGAAAGAGAATAGCAAACCATTTTCAGTAACTTATCAAATAAACTACGCATTAACAAATAGTCACCACAGCTTAACCTTTAAAAATAAGGAAGTAATTACTATAGAAGATTTATTTAAACCTTTAATTCAACTAGAAGCACCATTAAAAACTGTTAGAATAGAGCCTAGTCGACCATCAATAACCCAAGATCAAAGACGATTAATTAAAACACAATCAGAGAGAATTAGGCATATCCCAGTAATTGAACAAAATTTAGAACAAGAAGAGATAACCAATAATCAAGTAAATAAATTAATTGACGAGATAACCAATAATCAAGTAATAAATAAGTTGGAAAAATTGCAACATTCAATCGCAAATCTAGAGAATAAAATCTAAAACATGCCTACTAATTATCATATAAATAAATTAATTGAAGGAATAGATGCCATAAATCTCACTTCAATAAATTATATCAATACGGTCACACAAGAACTAACTTATTTTGCTTCAGAAATCGTAGAGGAACAAATGAGTATTGGAATCACAGAAACATTAGAAGAAGCTATCTCTAAAACCGAATTAATTACTGATATAATAACTAGCCTAAATAAAATAAAACAAAGATTACTAAACCAATAAGACATTTATAAAAATATTACTGAATTCACAAAAACATGGTATCAGAGCCCAAACCGATCAACTACCCGAATTATTTAGTTCGCAAAGACTTGGATATTAGTTCATACACCATTGGATATCAGTTAGTATCTACTAACAAAATGACCAGTTAGCAGATTAACCAGGTTGATGTGGAGGAGGAAGCCAGGAAGGCAAGCCTCACGGCTAGCTGGGCCTGATAATTATGTTTTTGGTTTAAAACTTTTTAGTGGAATTTAGAGGACTACATAAAATTACATTAAATAAATACCATATGGCTCATGAAGAGAATTCTTAATTATTTGTGTCATTCAAGCAAGATTTGACTCACGAGGAGGATTATGTTACGGTTTTTTTTTTTTTTTTTATACCCAGGAACCTCAGCCCCACGTGCCACTTTGTGACAGCGGGTCCTACTAAACCTGGGGGCCACCTGCATTTAATTTGACGCCAACGGGGCTTCGCCCCCAGCAGCCTTGTACCTCCGGGAACACCAACGGGCCTCGCTTGGATTCGAACCTGGGATCTGCAACTCCCAAGCCTTCACCGTTGCGGCAGCTTTACCGTTAGGCTATCTTACCTTTGGTTATGTTACGGTATTATTAGTAATAGTAAAGCGAAAAGTTGGAATTAGGGGTGATTTTTTCTAGAACATAAATATAATTTTAATTTTTTTTATTTATATAGTTAAATAATAATGCATTTAAATAATTCATTCATAGAAAAAGAAAGAATCGATTAATTACAATTATCGTTTTCAAAATAATCACGGGATGTTTTCATATTCTAAGAGAAATATAAAATATATTTATTGTCTACAATTATCATTTACAAAATGTAGGTATTAGTTGCAGTACACAGTTCGATCATAGACATTCTACGCACTATGTATGATATTTTCACACACCACCATAAGATTGATTCAAAGTTTATACAAAAATTAAAGCAAGCTTCTTTTGTTATACCATGTCGCACAACATGAAAAACTTAACAATGCAAGAAATTGAAGTATTATGACAATCCAATTTTTTTTTATATATCCATATTTTCCATAACTTGGTTGACATAAAGGTGGGGGCAGTTCTTATGGGGTTAACTCCGTTAATTACGTGATTATATTTTAGCTCTAAAGGAGTACTAAAAACCAAAACATAATCCAAGTTTCCATCGTACGCTTGACTTTAACAAAAGAAGATAACATGTATGCTTACAGTTGATGGTGAAACTATAGACCTCTTTAAATCACTAATGGTGCATGTTGTTTAATTCCAAATCAATTTCTTCATACATTTTATAAATTATTGATTTCAGGGACGGAACCAGGATTTCGAGACCGGTCATTATACGGCCGGGCCACCCAATGAGTAACCGGCGAATTGACGAGCACGAAGTCTCAGTGAGTGACCATGACTATTTCCTTGCCTCTTCCCTATCTCCAAATGCAAAGTGCTATCCCTTTCAAACTTTCTTGACAATAACAAGTATGTTTTTTTTTTGAATGAACAATAATAAGTTTTGATGCATGGCATCCACCTACTCACTTTTCTGGCCGTTGAAAATCAAAATATTTGTTTGTTGTACGAAAAATGAATTTTGGTATCCTCCTCGCAAGTTATGTTAGGGTTGTTAAGTGGATTTGGTTTTTCCGAGTTTAACTTAAATTAAATTGATAAAAAAGATTAATGGGTTTGGTTTTGATTTTAAAGAGTTGAACATCCTAATGGTTTTGATTTCAGTTAAAACCTAAAAATTAATAAGGAACCGATAAATTTCGTAATTAAGTAAATACTTATCAACAAAACACATTGTCACCAACTTATCTCTAGTAAACATCTTTGCTATCGTCATGTTTCTGGTTGTTTTTTCTTACTTCATATTTGGACTTCCCAAAATTATGGATTTGATTTTGGGGAATTTGCATGAATTGATTTTTGGGTTTTCATATTTAATGGTCTGGTTAACCAAACCTAATCTAAGTTATATGTGAGATTGTGCTCACAGACGGTGGTGTTGTTGAATTGGGTGCAGATGATCATCGATCACTGGATATATTTGATGACAATTTTGATGAAATCCATCTAACGATCGTGGGTCTTCAACTTCAAATGCAACAATGTCAAATATCTGTGAGCACCATAACAGGGTTGGTACGAAAACACAATAAATAGAGCCTCTTAAATTGTTAGAAATAGCCCACTTTTCTTTAGTTTGTTGTTCATCTCTATAAATTCTAACTTCTAAAAGATCGACGTAGCAATTATAATATTAAGTAGGGTTGGACAAGAGCGGGTTGGGTGGATTTTGGTTTTAAATTGACCCACTCGCTTTATAGCGAGTTTGTTAATTATGATCCGCTATCCATCCACATTCTTCTTTGAGATGGGTTGAGTGAATGGCAGATGGTTGAATTGTGGATTAACCCGTAAAAGTAGCTCTCCAACTAACCATTAAGGAAGTTTACGAAAAATTATAGTAAGTTTCTCGCAAATTAGTAAGAGTCTAGCAATTTAGACACTTCCCACTTTGTCTCCTGTGGATCCGTGTAGTATTTGCATCAAATTTATCATTACTCGTTCAACCAATTGTGTAGAGAAAGTTGAAACATTTGTAGACTTTGATACAATTAATAGTTCATAATATGCATCCCAATATCTAATGAATATTATCCAACATAGTAACTAGTAATAGCAATTTAAAAATTTATTTATTAACCGCTTTACAAGTTGATGATCATTGTGTAGTGTCGTTAGGAAATATGATGACTATTTGATAGTATAAAAAAAAAACTTTTTTGTCATGTGAAAATATGATGCGAGTCGTTGGGGTGTCCGACAATCCATCCACTCATCACCAAACCGACTAAATGCAAATAGAAGATTTATCAATTCGCAATCCACCCACATCTCTTTCATCCACAGACTACTGCTCATATTATTTACGAATGGATTGATATTGAACCTCGGATTAACCACTCACATGTCCACCCATTTAATATTCAAATTCTGAAACGATCTGTGAAGTCGCCTCTCTCTCACCGGACATTATTGAACCATGTCCCGATGTGTATTAAGTATTTAACTAAAATCTGAATACATGCCAAGTAGAACTCGTGACAGAGTTTGATAACGAACGATTGACAACCAACCTCTCGTTGTCTGGATGCGTTCTTCCAATGATGACACAAGTGTGACACTGTAGTAGCGCCTATTAGCTTCACATACAAGGCTCAGAAGTCACGCTAGCGATGCAGCTGGGCCCTTCTGGTTGCTTGTCGGCTAAGCTCTTGGGCCACATAACTATCGGGCCCCCGTCCCCTCCCTCTCCGGGCCCAATCCTACCAGTAGGGCCGTTCGACAGAGGCCGCGTGTACACCAGGCCCACCAGGCAATGTAAGTCCAATAATCGAGATTAGAATACAATTATACAGTTTATACTAAATGACAAGCCTAAACTGTTTAGTTTGAACTTTGAAATCAGTACCTTGAAAATATTAAAATTTGCTGTCTTGTAGCAGTAAATTGTTTCCCCACAAAGCAAAAAAAAAAAAAAACATTGCTCAGGTCTGGAAATACTGTGGTTCATATAATATGAGCCTCCAGGCTGACGCAGAAGAAGAACAGCTCTGGAAATAGATGCCATAAAATCACATCCAGATTTTGACTATTCTAAACAAGAAGTATTATTCTACTAGTTCTCGTTTCTTAAAATATGTTTCTTTCTCCCCAGTTCTCTGTCATCAAGACATTATTCTGCTGGTAAGACAAAGAGGAGATAATTTCTTTGGAAAATTTCTCCACACGTAAGGGTGATTCGTATTTCATCGTGCTCGAGACCGAGAGTCCTACATCCGCGATTTTGCTTGCTCCACTGGAGCACTCTGCAAACGAAAGAGCGTGCGTTAAAGATTATGGTGAGCGAGGCAATACGCAGAAGGTTGAGATAGCTAAGGACGCGCATTGAAGATTATGGTGAGCTTAAGCAGAGGCGATATGCTGAAGGTTGAGATAGCTTACCAGAGGAGCACCCGCCGCAGCTCGCTCAGCCAAGAAAGCACAGGGCTTGAAGAAGCCGCCGAATGTCTTGGACCATTCCTCCAATCTCGTGTAGATGTACTTCGATCCTAGTGAATCCGCCCAGAACATAATGCCTCCCCTGATGACAGTAACACCAAAGTTGATTAAACAAAGCCGAGATTATGGGAACGGTGGGTTATTGAAAAATGGGTTGGAAGAGGTTTGTAGACCTGTAAGGAGGGAAACCCATTCCCATGACAGATGATATGTCGAGGTCTGCAGCTTTAACTGCAATGCCCTCAGCGAAAACTCTGCAGGCCTCGTTGACCACGGGGAGGAATATCATTTCGATTATGTCCTTCTCCGATAATTTAGCCAACTGTTGGAAGTGTTGAGTCGAGAAGAAATGAGAAACAGAGGAGGATATGATTGTCAAACAACCAATAGTAAGAGAACCAGAAAGTCCACGCCACCTATGACGTACCTTGGGATCCACTGAAACGCCAGAAATGCTTCGTGCCTTCTCAATATATTTCTTCACCTCAGGATCTGGACGTGCTTTGCGTTTGTCATCGTAGAGGTAGAATCCTTTGCGAGTAGTTTCACCTACGCAAATCACATATTAAGACAGTCAGCATTTTCGTAATGTGGCTTGGCAGCTTGAGAATCATGTAATTATGAGAAGAGAAAGAGAAACAACATACCTGCTCTCTTATCCTCTTGCATTAGAGGAATAACCATAGACTTGTAGGTTCGCTCTGGGAAATTCTCGATAAACTGCATTGCAGTGGCAACTCCCACACCAAAACCAACCAAGTCAACCAACCTGCATTCAAATGAGACATCAAGATCTGCTCCTGGAAATTATCGATAGATATACTCACACTGTCATACATGCAAGCACTACATACCGGAAAGGGCCCATTGGCATTCCGAATTTGGTAACAGCCTTATCGATGAGATAAAGATCAGTTCCATGCTCCACAAGTAAAAGAGCAGCTTGTGTGTAAGGGAAGAACATTCTGTTGACTGCAAACCCAGTACAGTTCCCAACAACAACTGGAGTCTTCCTGATCTTTTTACCGACATCTAGTAGATCGACAATAACTTGAGGAGAAGTCTTGTTGGTGCGAACAATTTCCAGGAGTGGCATGATATGAGCCGGACTGCATAAGAAGCAAAAATCATTTAGTGGAGATATTCCTAAATCAAACGGCTGCCACAAAAATGAAACTACAAAAGGGGAAGTTTACCTAAAGAAATGGGCTCCGATGATCCTATCATGAGACCTTGTCTTGCTGCCTACCAAGTTCAAGTCAATTGTGGAAGTGTTGCTTGCAAGTATGCAATGCGGTGGGCAGTACTTCTCGAGGTCCGCAAAGATTTGTTGCTTCAATGAGACGTTTTCAATTACAGCCTGAACAAGCATCAAGGTCAAGGTTATGAAGTCAGTCTCCAGTGAGTAACAGCTTTGTATTCAATCATAATTAACATGTGTATAAAAGTACCTCTATGACCATGTCCACATCTCTAAAGCTTTCATAATCAAGAGCACCCTTAAGAAGAGAAAAAGTTTTCTCAAACTTTTCCTGAGTCATCTTTCCTTTCTTCACTCGGCTCTGCAAATTGGCTAAACAAGAGACAACGTTCATTCTACAATCATAACTTTGTTAACATAATTCAACATTAAGTATTCAGATTGGCTGGGCCTCACCTTTGACTCTATCCAGCCCAGCCTGCAAGAACTTCTCGTTGATTTCTTTTAAAATAACAGGATAATTACTTAGGACTAATGCAGTAGCTATTCCAGAACCCATCAGTCCTCCACCAATAACGGCAACCTTATTCACTCGTCTGGGCTTCAATCCCAGGTCTGTGACTGCAGGAACCTGTTCCGCGTCAATGGAGGATCAGATCAGTTAAAAGGCTTATTAAAGCTAAATTTACAATAAACCTTCTACAAATTGAAGGGCAACTTCAAGGAAGCTCAATGAGACCAACCTTAGTTGTTCCACGCTGAGCAAAGAATATGTGAACCAGACTCTTGCAGGTGTCAGAACGGACGAGTTCTTGGAAAGATTCAAACTCCTGCCAACATCACTAACAATGTGAGGGGTTGCACATATGTTGTAATTAGAAGAGAAGTGCCCCAGAAGACGAGACAGATAATCACCTTCCACAAACCAGCTCTGGGACCAGAAATTATGCCTGTTTCCACAACATCAATGCAAACTAAAGGATGTTGAAGGTTGGGAGCTTGTCTCCGCACTTGTGCTCTTCCAAATTTGAAAATCTCCCTTGCCTCTCCAAATGAGTCCAACTTATCGGTCTTGTAAAGGCTAGCAACCCATGGTCTTTTGCCCTCCACCATGTCTAGGGCCCAGCGGCGTGCAGAGGAAACCAACTCATTAGGAGAAACTAGACTATCCACAAGGCCCAAACCATGAGCTTCAGTTCCTTTCACTGGTTTCGACGTCTATTGATACATCATATGCAAACGGACAAAGCATAAGTCTATAGTCGTTTGACAGATCCCACTTAAAACTTACTAGCACCTAGGGAAAATCCACTATAAGACACATACCAGCATCATTTCAAGGGCTTTTGAGATCCCAACAAGACGTGGAAGTCTCTGTGTTCCTGATACAATAGAATTACAAGATTGGAGGCAAAGAAATAAAATTTCAGCATGAATCAAAATGCAAACCCCCAAACAAAATCAACGTAACGAAAACCATGCCGTACCTCCAAATCCAGGAATAATTCCAAGTTGAAGTTCAGGCAAGCCCAATTGTGCAGTAGGGGTTGAGATTCGAGCATGGCAAGCCTGTGATAGCAAATGTTCGGGGTCATTTTTTTGCAAGTAAATAAAGTTTAGTGAGCCTAGAACAAATACCAAGGGTCTTACCATTGCAACTTCCAGTCCACCGCCCAAGGCAAGGCCATCAATTGCAGCAACAGAAGGCTTTCTTGCAGCTAGAAATAGCACATATGCCAGTCAATTAGCTGACTGCTATCAGTTCAATGCCTAATATACACTATCTTTTTCAAAATTGGAGAAACCAGGGGGGAAATAAACCAATACCTTCAACAGTATCTGTAAGTACGTCAATTGATATGTAACCAGGCTTTGGTTGATCCACTGAGAAAACAGAAGACCGCAATTCAGATTTTAGCCGATTCATTACAAGTGGGTATAACATGTGCACAGAAATAAAAAGCATACCCTTTCCAGTCTGAACTCCGCCAAAAGCACTGATATCAAATCCACCAGAGAACTTTCCCTTTGCACCTATTCAATTTACAAGGGTACATCAGCTTCACACCACAATCGTCATCAACTAGATTTCAAGTCACCAATTCTAAGCAACTAAACTTACCGGTAACAACAATTGCCTTGACATCATCTCTGCGTAATGCCTGATCATAGCTTTCTTTCAAGCTGTACAACACTGCAAAGAGAATAGAGAACAACAAGTTCACACAAATCAGTAAACTGGCATCACACTCCACATGTCTGCATAGATCCTCGACGTTGTTGACAGATAAATTCCGATAGCAGCGATCAATTACTAGTAAGGTTCCTACTCAAATCGCTTCATTAATTCAATTCTAACTGTCCAAATCTCTCAAGAACAAAATCTTCGACCATAAATCCATATCTTATTCAATCAAACCTCACCGCCACCCAAGCGAACAAAACAGAGTTAAAAAAATTGAGCTAAGAAATTCTCAAATGAAGACGATAACAAAACTTCGCATAACTGACAGTAAACGTATTGCAACACCGAAGTGCGGAAAGCATGAGGAACAACGGAATCTCCGCCGGGGAAATGAAATTACGCAGCGAAACCGACGCGAAAACGGAGAGCGGGAAATGGAAAGGCCGTGTACGGCGAAACGGTGAGATCTGGATCAGAGCGGAGGCGGAAGGATTACCGTCGAAGGAGAGGGAATTGACGGGAGGATTGATGATGGTGATGAGAGCAACTCCGTCCGCTCCGACATCAATCGTCGTCGTTCCTTTCGCCATGTTTTTTTCCTTCACCGTCGCTTTTCCTCCGGCTGCGATTTAGAGTTTTCCGGTTGGCGGAAGAGTGAAGACGCAGGAAAAGCTCCGCCCAACTACTGCGGTTGCGGGGGCCAGAGGTTTCGTGTGTAGCGGGAATGAGTGACGCCTGGAAGTCGCTTCTGTTGTGTAATGAAATGGGAGAATTGAAAACGGGACGGGGATGATCACACGCATTTATAGCGCCTAGCTGGATGTAGATTTTATGGGTGGTACCTATCCGAAGTGACGCGCTGACGACGGAGCGTGCATCTGATCGCGGATCTGTGGAGATTGTTCCCGTTTGTGTGTGGGATATTCCCATCTAGGATTTGCAGCTTAGAATGGGATTGTTAATGGTACTTGATTTTATTAGATTTAAGGTTTGAATATCCAGTTACATTCCAAACTTTTTTACGAAAAGATATTGTCTCGTTTTGGGTTTAAATCCTCATGAATTTTGTATTGGGGTGCATCTCAAGGTCAAAAAATCATGTTAGTATGAGTCCAAAGCGGACAATATGTTTAACGGAAAAAGATTCAGGATGTTACAAGTAGTATCAAAGCCTCTCTGTGTCATTCTTGAACAATGGTGGGGCAAACCTCAACGGTGACGTTGAGTCCCTAAAGGGGGATGTATGTAACACCTTAAGCGATTCCAACGTAGACAAACACACGAGAGCGATCTACAAGAAGCGTTTTGTTGTGAAATGGAAGAGTTATTGTGAGAATTCCGAAGTTAAACGTGCTCACTGTGTAACACCTCAAAGATGGGGGTGAAATTATGATAAGTAACCTTGATATGCAACCGTGCGAGTATGGGCTCAAAACGGATAATGTCTTCGTCTGTAACAAATTCGGAATGCTATGTATTTTTATTGATAAGTGAATGTAATTTGATGGAGTGTATTTTAAAGTCCAATTCCGAGTCTCTAGAAAGAGATCATCTTCCTCAACATGTTTGTGTTTGATACTTGGATTAACGTTTCTTGTGTTGGAGTCATCATAATCACATTTTCTTGTCTTGAAAATTAGGGATGATAATATAACATGAGCTCGGTCCTTCAATCTGACATATCCTTACTTGTTTTTACGGCGTGCGAGTTTGTATCGAGGGTCTTCGCACCACGTCCCATCATGACTCTTCATTCTTGACTCGCTCCTTCTAAAGACCATGTATAGTAATTTGAGATCATTACTATAATGTCTCGTATATTAGTTATAATGTAAATAGTATAAAACAAGAGATTCCACTAATCAATAAATACTAAATAGTCATGTTATGCTCCTCATTTTGACTTATAAGGTGTTAAGTCCCAACCTTTTTTACTAAAGTATATGTTGTTTGTCCGTAAATATCGATCGTAGTAGTTTTGTTAATGAAATAGGAGGATACTCTACTAAGAATATGAACCATGTTGAAGCCTACAAAATTTAGCTGAAAAGGTTAAATTTTGGTAAGGTTTAGACGCTATAGTATATGAGGGTAAATACCACTTTTTTTTTATAATGGTGAAATATATTATTGGTTTTCAAAACAAAGCAAAAGCAGAGAATTACAGCAAGGAAATACAAAACAGGAAAGGAGGACCCGCGGTTAACACTCTCTAAAATAGAGGGGTAAATGCCACATTTGATCACTGAAATTATTAAATCGTATCATATTTAGTCATTAGCAAAATTTAATATCAATTTTGGTCACTCGGATTACTGAAACAAGCCACATTTAGTCACTCTCCCGTTAGTTTCCTCCAACTTCATTAATGGAGTTGGACGGAAACCAACGAGAGAGTGACTAAATGTGATCTGTTTCAGTAATTCGAGTGACCAAAATTGATATTAAATTTTTCTAGTGACTAAACATGACACGATTTAGTAATCTCAGTGACCAAATGTGACATTTACCCTAGTATATGATTTAGCCATACAAATAACCGAAGGCTTGGTAGTTTTACATCGGAGGGTTTGCTACACGCGCTGCTGCTGCTGCGTCGCTCATCCCTGTTTGACATCATTGTCTATCTCCTCGAAGTTATAAACCTCCGTGGCAGTCCAAGCGGGGAATGAGGAGGGGGGAAAAAATGAGAAAAAAGGAAGAAGAAACGGGCTAGCTATCCATATCCCGCCACCACCACGACCACAATAATGTAAATCACGACCACAATAATGTAAACGGTGAAGGTTTTTCTGTTGAATTCTAAAAAGGAAAATGACAGACTATACTGCCAACTTGAATGGAGAAAACTACTAATTTAATTTCCCAGTGCCGTTCAAACAAAACATGGGCAAGATTCCGAGAAGGGGAAGGAAGAAGAAGAGTGATTTCGCCGATTACACGCATTTCTATGTTGCTGTCTAGTTTCCGATAACGGGTGACGTTATGGTCACGCTATTTTTTTTAATAAGTGGGATGGCCTAGTCTTTTTTTTTTCATAATTATTTTCATAAAGTAACTAGCATTTGTTATTACGTTCCACCAAAAAAAAAAACATTTGTTATTACGAATTCATTTAAAAATGGTAATATAACACTATCGTACACTAGTAATAATTATTTTCACTAATGTCAATAAAAAAATTGTATTGGAGATTTGGGGTCAACAAAAAAAAATTTATATAATTAATAATCATTTCAAAATGTTTGTAGTGTTATTATATATCATCAGTAATTTCTTTCACAAAAACTAACAGCAAAATTTTATATTGTTAATAATCATTTTTCAAATATTTCAAAACACTGTTGTATGCAATTAATTGTTCTCTCCATCAACATTACTGATGCTATTTACGCAATTAATAATTTCTTCACAAAAAAGTAATAACAAAATTGTCTATTATTAATAATTCTTTTCGGGTTGGGCTCAGTTGTGAATAAGCTATTACAGGTATCTTTCATCAAGCCCGGCCCAAATTGGTTAAGTTGGAAGTCTTCACTTTCCACTTCCAGTTCCTGTCAAACTTCTCCGCGACGTCTCACTTCCACATAAACCCAAAGTTTGCGGCCGCTGAATCTCCCGCGCAAAACGAATTCTCAACCTATCTTCCAGAAGAATCATCCAAACAAGTCGAAAGATTGAATAACCGACCATCCCAAGCCACCGTCTCCCGCCATGGCCGCCGCCGTAGCAGCCGCCTCCGACGCGACGACCAGCCTATCGAGCGACGGAGAACCTCATCCGCTAACCGACATCGAGATCGTGCAGCTCGCCCAACGAGGTGAACTCCATCCTTACTTGCTTACCGCCTCCTCTCACTCGGCTCTCCTCGCCCACCTCCAAGCTCGCTCGCTCTCTCCTGCGCCGTCGCTGGCGGTGTCCGAATACGTACTCTCTCTGCTCTCTCTCATTTCCCTCTCCCCGGATACTCCCTCGCTAACGTCTCTTCTCTCCGCCCTGCTCTCTTCCTACACTCGCTTGTTCGTCTCCCGCCAGATCCCTCACGATTCGAATTCCTCGAAAACTATTGGTCTCTTCACTACAGTTCTGCACAGTATCGCCATCGATGATCTTCAGTCGGTGGTGGAGTCGATTGTGGACGACTTGTTTGGGATCGAGAGTTTGGAAGACGCGCAGATTCTCGACTTTCTTCCTGGCTGTTGTAATTTGATTTTCCAGGAAAACCGTAAGGAGTTCGTGGATTCGATGCTGGATAAGGTTATGGTGAGCGAATGGTCGAAACCGCTGCTTATTAAGCTGGTGTCTGTTGTTAAGGAATTTCTAGGTATTTTTGACAAGGGGAGAGGGATAGAGTTTGTACAGAAGGTGTTCGATGGAATGCCCATGATAGATTTGCAGGATTTGCCGACACTTGTGTATCAGTTGCTGGTTTTGGCTTCCAAAGGATTCAACAAGAGAGAGGTGCTTGAAGGGATTGTGAAGTATTTTGGGGATGAAAAACGGTCGAGGAAAGTGAGTTCCACTGTTAGGCAAGTGGAGGGAACTGTGCTGCTTCATGTCAATTTCGCTGTGAAGCAGGATCCTTCTCTCGTTCAGGAGATTATTAGGCTTGTGAAGTTGGACTTGAGGGCTTTTAATCATTTCACCGTTGCTGTTTTGCTCTCTGTTGCGAGGGTTAGAAGGTTCAGCGAGAACTCGATTGGGGCACTCAAAATGGGGCTGCTTAATGCTTACCGCGATTACAAGTTTGCTAAGTAAGCAACTATGCTTCTGTTGATGTCTTTGTGCAGTCTTCCTATCCAGAATTCCACATGACAATTTTTTTCTTCACTTTGTCTCTTTCAGTGACTGTAAGTGGCTAACACAGGAGCTAAAAGAAGAGTATCTGCAGAACGTTCAGACACTGGAGAAGGCTGTTCTAAGAGCGGTGAGTATCCTGTTCCTAAATTTCGATATGGGTATGTTTTGAATGAGCATGGGCATATAGCTGACATTAATTGCTTTAGGTTAATGAGAGCACCTGTGGAAGGGAACATATTTTGCCTACTATGGTGCAGTTCAGCTTTGTACTGTTGGAGTCATCTGAAGAAGGTAGTTTCGGAGATCCATCTGATTCTGATGGCCTGCTTGGCATCAAGGAGCTCAGTATTCGGATGCTCATGACTCTTTTTGAGGTTCATGATATGGCAAGAAATGAGGTGGGTTAAGCTGTGAACTGCAGTGTGGTGTTTCACATTGAGCAAACTGATTCAGAATTGTAGAAAGTAATACGATTTCTGGTAATATTCCAGATAATAGATCAGTGCAAATTTCGCATTCTGTGTCTGAAGCCAGAGCGGACCATTCCAATCACAAGGTAAACCACAAGCGATTGACATGCTAGAACTCTTGTGCAGTTTTGTACATTGTTGTAATTGTGGGATTTAGTTTTGGCGTGCAGACTGCTAGGCCAGCTAGTCCAAGCATGTCCTCTCCCAATGTCGGACCATGTTCCCCGCTTGAAGGAATTGTTGGACTACTTCACTCATATGCCCAACAAGGTCGCCACTCTTCTGGTTGCTGCTATAGTGCCGCTAGCCAAACATAGTCGCCATCTTCGGGTAATGTTTGAACTTTTTATCTCCATTGATTAAGCAAACGGGTCATAAATTTTATCCCGGTTAAGTTCAAATCTCTCAAGAGCATCATGCTATTCGTTTCAGGATTATATGATCTTGGTATTGCGCAAGGCTATATTTAGCCGGGAAGATGCGGTCCGTCTTGCTGCAACTAACGCCATATTCCGTCTTATTCTAGTGGAAAGACAATCCACTAGAGACGGGTTGTTTGCCTTTCAAGACTCGTCAAGCCAGGCAAGTAGCAGCCAGCAAAATGGCATGCTGCCATGTGGCATCAACGGAGGAGCTCTCTTTCATGAGCTAAGTGGTTTGCTGCGCAGATGCCTTTGTCAACAGGTTGCTCCCTTACGTCTTTCTTGTTATGAATTTATGATACTGTTCTTTGAGTTGGCTTCAGTAGTTCCTAAACGGAGTTACGTGTTTTCCTCTAGGCAAAAGTAAGGGAGGTCATCTATTCTGGTCTTCTGAAGCTTGTCCTAGTAGACCCTGCCAGTGGGAAACTCGTGCTTGATTTTCTTTTGCCTCACTTCCTGCGGTTCTTCAAGGAGGTAAGACCTCTTTCAGCGTTTCTAGTAGCCATACTATTTAATTTCTGCTCTAACATATAAACAATGTGATCAGGATACTGATGTTGTAGCTGGAATTAGCTCTTCCGTTAAATCAGAACGTGGCAAAGTTTTAGTTGAAGAGCCACTAGATTGTCTTCTATCTTGTGTTTCGTGGATTTTGCTACTCCAACCACATGGTATACCAGATCCTCCAGAATCGTCGTTGCCATGTTTTGGTTTCTCCCTTTCCCAAGATGATGAGGTAGCGTAATTAACAAGGGTTCTTCATCCTCTTCTATCTTCAGTTCACGTGAATAAATTATAAATATAACTTCCATGGCAGGCACGAAGAAATCAGTCCAGTGAGTCATTCTCTGATGCCCTGACAAAGATTCGGAAGTTCGTGAGAAAGGGAAAGCTGGAAGGTTAGTTAAGATTGTCCTTCTTTGTACAAGTAAACATCCACGTTATCAACAAACTTCCACCCGCTTCTACTCATTCCCTTCGCATTTTATGTAAAGGCATACTCGGTCAGAATCAGGATGGCAGCAGCTTTACTTCCCCTGAAGAAGAAAAGAACAGATGCTTGGCTTTGGTTCTATCAGGGATCATTAAGGTACTACTGAACTCCATTGCTGCTGAGCTGGAGAAAGCACCCAATTCAAAGGCAACGGATCTAGAAAAAGAGCTCTCCGAATTCGTCGATCTCCTCGAGCCGCTTGAGAAGGATGCATCTCCAAAGCAAACTGGCGGCAGAAGAGGGAATGTAAAAAGCACTGCTACTGATACTTCAGCGAAGGTTGATTCAGCAAGCCGAGAACTGATTCCCTTCTCAACTTCCAATCTCTTGACACTGACCCAAAAGGCAGCGAGCCTTTACACCAGCGGTAGCCAGCTGGCTTCTCAGAAGCATCCATTGAAGAGCTCCAAGATCATAGCTTTCGTCTTGAACAGCTGTCTTCATCACTTGAAGTCTTACTCTTACCATGCTGAAGGTAAGGAAGATCCATTGGCGGTTTTCGTTTACGGAGATGTCAAGCTGTTTGGGCGTCCTCTGCTTGAACTAACCCTATTGCTGAAGCGGGAAAAGGGGAAAAAGGATTCGGAAGAGAAGAAGGAGAATCTTTATTTGGCCTTGTCATGCTTGAAAGAGCTGATTTTGATTGCTCTGAAGAAGAAGGATCTCACTGGCTTACTGGATCAACTGTTATCAGTCTGTCATTCCGATGATGGCTCACAGTTAGATGATGATAACACCGAAGCCTCCAGGATCAGCGATGAAGATGTAAGAAACCAGACAATGTTCATCATCAAAGTCTGCAGGCCGCTACTTTCTCAGCTCCTTGATGTGTCAGCTTTTCGGGAGGCCGAGGTAAGTGCTTTACTTAAGCCATACAGTTCCGGTTGATGCCTCGAACTCCATTTCTACTACATGGATGTCGCCAATTATGTGCTCTAGAGATGCTATTCAAAGAATCTGTTTGTTATCAGATGTCTAATAGTACAGTAACTTCTGCAGATCGTGTGCGATATGATTTCGATAATCGGAACCAAACTGCCATGCCAATGGAGGAAACCTCACGGAGCTTGGGCAATCACTCTCTGCAAAACTCAACCCGTAAGGAACCCCAAGGTCGCCAGAACCATACTCGAGCTCTCCCTTCGTCTTACTTCATCTCCAGAAGATCTCAACTTCGCACAAGACCTGACGAAGGAGCTACTGAAGTTCAACCCGTTGGACAAGGACAGCCAGTTGGAAGAAGCAGAAGCTTCTTCCGACCGGTATCCAATACTGAACACCGCAACGAGCAGCGCCGTGACTGCTTGCATACTGCAAGCCATCGAGGCGGATATCGCCGAGATGGATTGGGCCGTCAAGAAACTGAAGACGTTGACTTTGATGGATCAGAAAAGCATTCATTTGCCGGCTACGAAGGACACCGATGACGACGAATTACATTCCTCGTCGAGAGCTGCATTCGAAAACCGTCTTCATTCCAAGGCCGAAGCTGTAGTCAAAGTGCTCTCCTCCTTCGTTCTTATGCGCCTCAAAGGTAAGTAAGCTTTTCTCCTCTCTTCATCATCTCATTACAAGATTTCAAAAGAACTCACCAAACCAGTAATTTCTTGGTTTTGCAAGATTCTCAAGCGGAGCACCTGATCCGAACCACAACGAAGCTCTACAAGCATCTATCCCTGATGACGAAGCTCGCCATCGCTCCCAAAGGATGCAAGCAGCTCAGTCCGAGCCTAGCCTTCCAGAAGCTGGTGGAGATCACCTGCAGGCAGCTCACGGCTCCGCTCTACATCTTCGTCGCCGATACGCAGCAGGAAAGTAATGCCCAAGGAGTCAACAACAACAACAACAACAACAAGGGGAAAGGCAGCCGCCTGATGAACAAGATCAAGAGGGAGAACAAATGCATCCCTGATTTGATCTTCCAGGTCGAGGATTACGAGAGGTACCTCATCAGGCTGAGTAAAGTGACCAGGGTGAATTTGCTGAAAAATGCCAAGCGCAGCACCGCGAGGGATTTCAGGATAGTCGACGCGCGGCAGAATGTTGAGCCGGAGCCGGAGGCGGAAGCCGACGACGGCGGAGAGAGCGGAGGCGAGGGATCGGACGGCGGTGGCGCGGTGTCTCCGTCGCCGTCGTAGCCATCAAAATTAGAATAGGTGTAAATCCAGGACTTGGGTAGTTGGGCCTGGATTTCGAAAAGACCGTAACTTAGACTTTGTTATATACTAGGAAGTTAGTAAGTAGAAGCCCATAGCCCATCTTGGTTACTGTGGGCTTGGGCCTAGAGTTGACGAGCGGTAAATTTAAAATTTAATTTTTTTTCCTGGTAAAGCAAATTAGGATTATCAATTTTCAATAGTTATTGGTTGGACTTGAAGGGGAGAGTGAGAAAAGGGGAAAACGGTGGACTGGACAGACTGGAGTAGAGAAAGCTGTTTTCCCCTTTTGTTTCCTCCACCACAATCGAGAGAGAGAGATCTCTCTCCCTCTTGCTCCCTGCCAAAAAATCACAGCACGAAAGCATCACCAGGAACGAAGCGAAATCAAATTGACGAGGAAATGAATACTTCCGACGACGCCAAGCGAAGCATCTCCGGGAATCTACCACCGAAGTCCGGCTCCGATGATCGGAGACTCGTGCCCGTCGAACCCGCCGCTGCTCCCGTCGTCGGCAAGAAAATCGTCATCAAGAACGCGGACATGAAGGAGGACATGCAGAAGGAGGCTGTGGAGATTGCCATCTCCGTGAGTACTCTTTCTCCCTCTCTTTCAACTTTGATTGCTTCCAATTTCGACTGCTTTTCCCCCTAAACTTTGTGCTCATGTTTTTGTTTGTTTCGGAGCGCTTTCCGATCAGGCGTTCGAGAAGCTGAATGTGGAGAAGGACGTGGCGGAGTACATAAAGAAGGAATTCGACCGGAAGCACGGACCTACTTGGCATTGTATCGTTGGCCGGAATTTCGGTAATCCTAATCTGATTTCCCGTTTTGCTTTAATGTTTGCCTGGAGATATGCTTCAGATTTGGTAACTCCTTCTGGATTTGTGTGTAAATCGATGTTGCGCAATGATTTTGTGTCACATCCGAGTGCTTTTTTGGTTCTTCCTGGGGTTGAAACAGTAGACCTGTAGATCCAGCCGCCTGATAGGTGATATTCACTTGTATTTCCATTTCTTGGAATGATGTTGAAAACTTACCCTGAACTCCAAACAACTCTTAGTTTTCAGTTTATGGCGACAATGAATCAGCAGTTTGATAGTGGTGGCTTCCTGATATAGTTGGTGCTAGGAGCATAGGATGCTAAAATGTAGCTAAATTTAGAATGCCAAACCAATACAGAAACTGTCTCTGGCTGAAATTATTTCGGTGGCAAGTATTTGAAGTAGTTGTGGTTGAGTACTTGTTTCGTTTTAGTAGTCGCATTGCTCTGCCTCTCAGTTAGTTTTGCCACTGCAAGCTATAGTGAATTGGTCTCTGCACAAGCTATGTTAAATTGACTGGTGAATTAGTTCAGGTGAATGTAATCTTGGGGGGCACTCAATGGGGACATTTGTTGTCTGAAACTGTCACGATGTTAGAGAACCTTGTTCCCTGCATAAGTACCCCCCAAGGAAGTTATTTATAGGTTTATCTTCTCCATTAGTATGACCATCTGCTTCTGTGTGAACACTGAACATTGTGTGAAATGCTCTGCGCCAACCAAAGTGCTTATGTTTTATATGTATCAGGCTAGAATACGCTTTTTCTTATCAGCAGTGTCAGAGTGTGAGTGCTTGTCGTCTTTGGAAACTGGAATGAATTCTCACCATGCACTGACCAAAATTTATGGCACCACTGCTGCTCTATATCAATAACCAGTACCAGCAGCTACTGTATTTTGCTGCTTTGGTTTTAGGTGACGCGATCTTAAATTACACATTCCATTTCTGTATTTGAACTACTGAACTAGGATGTCTCTAGTGCTCTGGTAAGATGCCATGTTAGGTGTTGAGTAAGTCATTAGGTACATGTTTCGCCACTTTCCCGCATTGCAGTAAAGATAGCAATGTTCCTTCCGACCTTCCCTTGCTTCGTTGCCATGGAGTAAGCTCGCATGCCTCTTCATTTCTTGGATTGATGCTCACCAGTCACCTCTCTTGTCTTTTTGTTATCCCTTCCATACTACAGGTTCATACGTGACCCATGAGACGAATCACTTTGTGTATTTCTACTTGGACCAGAAGGCAGTCTTGCTCTTCAAATCTGGCTGAGGCCGCCCCACATTCCCCAGTCGCAGCAGCAGCGGCACACACATCCAATATGGCATGGTGGCGACACCATGAACTATCGATCATGCCTTGTACGTATTAAAAAGACCCAAAACCAGAAAAATTTTCTTGCTAGCATTTTTGTTGTTGTGTGGATGGATCCATTTGTATATCTCTTGGATTATTGGTTTTCAGCTACGTGAACTACTCCAAGTTTAATCTTCCATGCCTTCTGTCCGTTTCCTGCTTGTCTCTTCTTTTGTTATCTGCTGCCTCTGCTGTCGTTGTATGCAGTCATATATTATTCCTCTTATCACATGAAGTTTGGAACCAAATTTCTGCCTGCCGAAGTGTCATTTCTCTTCATCCTTAGACACCCATTTCCAGGAGTTATAAATGTAAAGAGCAGAACATGTTAAGAGTGTTGTTGGCTGGAGGTTTCATATAATATAGTCGGGTAATGACAGTTTAGTCCTTCGTTTTTCTTGAACTTGCTTGTTTGATGTCTCTACTCTCTATATATAATGTTGAACAAGTTCATTTTTATCCATCTTAGTCTCGCTGTTACCGGGTTGGTCTGTATTTACCCAGTGGTCTAGACTCGTGCTCACATGTCATGTATGTTAGAAAATCTTTTACTTCTCGTTACGGTCTTGATAGATTAGAGTCGAATAAGACGTGGATGACATTGGAATCGATGAGCAAAATAAGTATATCCGGTCTATAGTTTCGGGTCAACTAGGACGAATATAGATTCAGTGAAACTTTTAACAGATGGACATAGTTCAGATACTGGAATATGAAAGGTTATCAATCTTTGCAAGTCTGTCTTTTCAACCTCTGTAAAAATGGCTGGGAGTTTACTCGTTGGAATTCAGTGAGGCTGTTTGTTTCTTTCTTCCTTTCTTCCGTATGGTGCCGTGTCTTATTCTGTGACCTGTGTTTTGTTTTGAGCTTCAACTGATTTGGCCTTCAATGCCAACTGATTGCTGGTGAGGACCTTGGATTCCCCTTCAATGGCGGTTCCCACGTCACTGACTAGCTGTCTGTCGGTGGGCTCTGAACTTTGAAGAGAAAGGAGAGTACTTACTTTCTGTAGTATTATTGCTATGGTTTACCTTCTTGGCATTATGCATCATTAGTTAGTAGTAGTATAGTAAATAATACCTAACCAGATGAAAACAACAGTTCCCTTTTGTCTGAATCCGATTCTCACCATTCAGGAAAACAAAACAAACAGATATAACCTGCGAATTAAGAAGCCATTGGCTTCTACCAGAAATGGCGTTTTGGGAGGTTAGTTGTTTAGATGAATGTCATTTGTCTTGGAACCTCAGATTAATGTGACAGTATATGAAGAGAATTGGACGAAGAGCTTGGAAAGAAAGCAAGAAGTGGCCTGCGGCCGATTAGGGAGAAGAGAGGAAATTAGGGATGAGAGATACGTTGACATATTCTTTGATTATTTCTTGACTGATACGTAACTGAATGACGAAATTACATTATATAAGTTACAGGCTAAACCCTAATCACTAACCAATTAATAAATCCCTAACCGACCCTGGCCATACACGTATATCCATCACAATTCACAACACAGATATAATGTAAATAATAATAAAAAACCATCGTCATTGATATGTTGTTTATTCCAAGTTCGATTCAACTTGTTTTTTAATCTTGCAAGCGATAGCAAGTGAAGATGTTGCACTAGAATTTTCACATAGACTCGACAAAGTTGCTTTATGGAACAATCATTTAAGAATTTCATCCGCGTGAAAAAAGATTATGTTACGTTAAAAAAGCATCAATACATATACCTGAATATTTATTGGAGTATTGAACTCTGAGTAGACCATATCATAATTGTGTTCACTTACCTTTGAATAAATTAACTAAATAATGCTTAAAAGCTTAGCAACCCTAATAACATGCATAGAGAATCAAAGCAACCTCACGGATGGAAGAAGAATTGTCGCGTTTCCCAGACAGGAGAATTTTGTAGGGTAGTAAGCTCCACTCCACGACAAGCAAACAAGCTATTTTTTAAAGAAAAGAGGAAAGAAAAAGAGGAGGGTTTGGCCGAAGAAAAACCAGGCAATATATTCCCAAATCTGTACTAGCCAATATTTTGTTACCCCTATGGATCAATTGTGGTGGTGGGTGTGATGGAAAAAAGGAGAAGAAAGAAATTATAGTGTATTATTATACATAAAAATACATGTAGTAATAATGGCACACAATTTTGGATAGTGCCAACTGCCAAGATTCTGCCACACATGCCATGCTCCTCCTCAAAACTGCCTTTCCCTTCTTTTCAATTCTCACTTGTTTCATATGCCTCCTCCAAAATTTCGTGCAAAAGAAGTAATATGCTTGTTACATGCAACAAAAGCTTATAAAGTGGTGGTATCATTTTGAGGAAGAGCTAGCTAATAGTATTCGAGGGGGGGGGGGGGGGGGGGGGTTTAATACTTTCATGGAGTATTTCGGAGTTATTTGCCCATTTCAAAAGGAAATGGGCGTGCACCGGTTGGTTTTTTTTTATCGATCAGGGTTGATAACCTGTAAATTAATTACTGTGCATGTCGTTTAGAATGTTGCCTGATTGATTTCTTCATTTGATGGCATGAATAAGATAGCAGCATATCTTGAAAGTCAATCGTTGATGCATGTTCTCGCTATAATTCTATGGTTCGAATTTGATTCCAGGCATAACTAAGTGATGAAGACTTACGATTCAACTTATTCGGACCTTTATTATTCTTGATTGGCTTAATTAAAGGAAAATTATTAGCGAAGTTAGTATGGAGGGTTTCTTTTGTTGTTCATAGTTTTATAAGAAAAACAAAATGGTCATCAACATTGGTATAAGACCATTGCCTAAAGTTTTGACGACGCTCAATATTAGCATTTTTTTTACCCATCCAAAGGTGTGATCGAGGCACTCAAGCCTCAAACTACTCATGAATAGGGAAGGAGCTAAAACATTAAAAGGGGTTTCATGGCTCCCTCTTAAATTTGGAGGAAAGCAAATACAAATTATTAGTATGTTAATAAAGACATTTAAACCCAAAAAAATTCATATCCTCAAATCTTCTATCATCTAACCACAAAAAATTATACAAATTAATTTTAACTAGTAATTTTTACATCAGTATATTCTAGTATATCAAGATTGATAAGCGGTACAAATTATTAGAGGATATCATTAATTTTTTTAATGATTACGATAGTAGAAACAGAAAAATAGTTCACACCAATGTAATTTATATTAATTGACTACATTTTATGGAATGAAATTATTGACAAGCCTTTTTTGCATAAAGTGTATCGAAATCTTTAATGGTTATTTGGTAGAATACATTAAGAGTAAAATCTTAATAGTTTGGTGATAGTTTGGACGATTCATATACTTTCAGAATAAGTTCACAATTTATATACACGAGACTGCACATGTAAACTTTTTTAATGAAACTCCTTTGAATAAAAATCTCGAATGCACTAGAGCTCATGAATGGCCGTTTATTTAACGAAAACTCAACATCATTTTCAAGGCCTAGCACCCGATACATCACTCGCAGTGCCTCCGGGAACACCAAATGGTGTAGCGGGGTTCGAACCTAAGACCTCACACATTTCAAGTCCGAAAGACCACACTCCCGACCAACTCGACTATTTTACCTTTGGCCCAAGTACAACTAATTAAACCTGATAACTACGAACCAAAACTATATATAAAATTGTTTGACCACACAAATCCATGAAAATTGACACCAAACAAAGACTCCAACTCTTCAAGGCTGGTATAAACCCTACCCACCAACCTGTTCAGCATTTCATTCAAAGCAACTGTACTATGAACTTGGCTTGGTTTAGGGTTTGGTAGGTTGGGTAGAAACATGGCTGTCTCCCTTATTCAAACCCCCAAAAAATATCGAATTGAATGCACCTGATCTATAGCTTTTACCTAGATAGCTTAGCTGGTGCTGTTTTGGTTGGATCGATCTTCTGCTTCCTGAAACCATGGGCAGCAGTAAGTAAAAGCAGCAGCAGCAGTACTACTACTAGTCTTCTTCCTATTGTATAGACTGCCTACTCGATCGATCTTTTTACACTTCACCGTTTTACAGCTCTACCCATTATACCATTACTGATTTCACAGCAGGATTTCCATTTCTTGCAAACAAACAAATCTCCCTGCCAACAATGGCGACAGGCTCTATTTTTCTCATGGTTTCTGGAAGGGGAAAGTAAGGGAAGCAAATCGGTGGTCGATCCCGGTGGCGGTATTATTGTATATAGCTAGCTAGGGAATCATATCACCTTTAGGTTTAGTTTTACACATTTACGGTTAAGATGGTTTATGACGAACTAGTTTGTGACATGGTATTAGGTTAAAAATTTTACGGTTTGTGAGTTTCAATTCTATCTTCGATTGGTAATATCTAAAGCGTGTTTATGATGTTTATCTATTTGATTGTATCGAAAGTCCCAATGAATTAGGATTTTGCCTATTGGGTCGGGTCATTTCGGGACAAGCGAATCATTTATGATGAAGAGGATGATCAGCTTCAAGAGAATAATTCGGAATTCTTGCAGAGTACGAAAATTAACGATGGATATAACCAGATAGACTTACAAAGAAAAGTGACTGGATTGTAATATACTTTATATCTAATACGACAAAGCCTTACGCGAGGGGAAGATATCCTAAAATGCCTTATAAAAAAAATTGTCACCACTCTTTAAGAGTGTACTATAATTGATACACCTTACCTCATTAATGAGTTAAGACCTATCCCAACCAATTCCAACTAGAAACTCTTTACTGCATTTCACTTCTACATCCTCAAGCTTTGGAGCTAGCTAGGGTTTTTATTGTAACCACGCGCCACCTCACCATATGCATTTATCTATAATTGATGGCGACATGCCCCTACCGCGATCTCATCATTCATCAATCACTCGTCCTGTCTTTGCGAGTTAAGAAACGTTAATGCATCGATTGGTATCGTCGCGTCTTGCAACTACGAGAACATCGAATTGTTCCAAAGGTACCAAATTCTCTTGCCGATGGAGAGTCGACCTAACTATATCCCTAATACAAATATATTTTATGCTATGCTCCCGTATCTCAGTGCTCCCTTGTATTATTATCTTAGGGCATTATTCCCTCCCGTGCTAAAATGCGCATAAACGTTGCAATAATGTAATAATACAGAAAAAAGAAATGGTGGAAAAAGGGAAGAAGGGAATCCAACATTTTTTGCCAATTTCTTGTCGCGATTTACAGCCAAAAGAGAAAGATCGTACTAGTACCACCGCCCAGCTGCCACAACAAGCAACAAACAAAGCAAAGCTCTTTCTCTCTGTATACGTAAAGCCCAGCGGCCAGCCCCCACTGTTTGTTTCCCGAGAAAGTGATAACTCTCCAACGTACGATTAGGATTAGTAATCAACCACCACATTGATTTGTATTGTTGTTGTTGTTACTCAGTTAACGATCTATCAGTTTCTTCAAACAAAGATCGAATTCCGGGGATAAGAGTGAAAACTCTACAACCACCACTCTTTTCACTTCAAGATTCAAACGTTTTCGCACCGACATCTAATATTTTTTGTTTTTTTTTACCAAAGATTGTGATACTCGTAATTGTTGGAGATGTATGACAACTCGTATATCAGATTGGATTCATGAGGTATTGAGAAGAAGACTAAAATTGCGAGACTAATATATGCACATTATATAGGTGTCAACAATAAAATTGCTCATGTGTTAACGACACAATCTGACTAACGTATGAATAGTCTGTATAATAATTAATATGTATGCTCATAAATCATAATCTCTATCGTGTCATATGCTCATAAAAACCACACGGCTCGATAATCAAAGTTATACCTCCGAACTGTTTGATAACATCAACACAATTCAATCTCATACTAGTGAATAATTTAAGTATTCCACGGAAACCCAAACTGAAAAGTGAAAACTATTGATTAAGCTTCACTCGTAATGAAGAAAAATTTAATTAATTTGCCAACTTACCCACGACTGCGTTTCTCTAGGTCTGAGGTTTTTGTTTTTGTTTTTTTGTGGGAACAAAGTCGAGGTTTTAACTAATATAATATATTAATTAATTTTTCATTATATGAATCTAGGCCGCCAATGGGTAACCAAACCCATGGGCTGGGGCGGAAAAGGAAACAAAGAATGGGACAGCAAGCCACGAAAATAAATAATAAAAATTTTAATAATTAATTTCCCCCTTTTTTTTTTCTCTCCCACAGAGCGGTCCATTGCTTCCCCCCAAATTTTGTCCTCATACCAGGTGGCAAAAAGACGACAGGTAACACGTCCACGTCATTACATCGTAGAACCAAAACAGGCGAGGGTAAAACTGGGAATTCACCCCCCAAAACCCTCCCTCTATCAAAAAAGAAATATAAAAATAAAAATACCAAAAGAGGAAAACACCAATCCCTTCATCTCAGTAAGCAAAACCGCCACCGCCACCGCCTCCTCTCCCACTCTTCCGGTGGTGCCGAGCCGAAACCCCCGCCGCCGCCGACGCAGAAGAAGAACCACCTCCCGCCGCCGCCGCATCCGCGGCGGAGAAAGCGCAGAGCTGCTTCTTCTTGTGAGTACTAGTAGTCCCACTGGTAGTCGTTTCCTGCTCGTCCACGAACATATGCCTGTACCGGCACTCCACGCTGCAAAAAGCTCTGTCCCCCCTGCTCCACAATAAAATTTTTTTTAAAAAAAATTAAGATCTCTTACTCAACAGCTTATATTATTCAGCCCGATCTCGCTCCGATTCGTTCGATCCAAACATTAAACAGAGCCGTAATTGACTTGCGCTTACTTGTACATGTAGATGTCGTTCCCCGGGAGGAGCCTCTGGCCGCAGAAGAAGCAGACCTCCAGAAATCCGGCGGCGGCGGGAGGCGGCGGCGGAGGAGAAGGAGGAGAAGAAGAAGAATGCTTGGTGTTGGCGATCATGGAGGATTTGTTGATCACCAGCTGAGCTCTCTGTGATTCCAAAACTATACTCAATCCCACCATATCTCTCTCTCACTCACACAATCTCACAACATCGTATTGTTGATTATTATAATTGTGTAAAGCTATATGGAAGAGACTGAAGAAAAGCAAGAAGAAGAAGAGGAAGGAGAAGAGGAATTGTATATTTTTTTTGATTATTTTGGAAGGGAGAGGAGGTGAGGGGAAGAGGGGATAAATAGGAAGGAAGAGGAAGAGAGAGAGAGAGAGAGAGAAAGGACGATTGGGGCAGGGGAGGACGATTTGACTTCTAGTGTTTATTAACCGCCACGTACACCCCCTACCTTTTTTTTTACCTCTTTTTTTTTTTTTTTTACCTCTCGGGAGAGGGCGGTAATTATTGTTCGCGGGGAGCTTCTATAATTAATTGGGGGGAACTGGAGGTAATTAATGGAAGACGGGGTTTGGTTTTGGAAGGAGGAGGCAATTGATGAGTTTTTTGAGTTAAGGGAAAGAGGTGGGGAAGTAAATGTTTTGGGGCAAAATTTTTGGCTGGCTCGTCGGCCATAATGGTAACATTTAGTTATGGCAATTTTTGGTTTGAGCTAACTAGCTACTTGATTATCGATCTGTTTTGGTGGATGGGTAAAGTGCGGGTTGATGATTTCTTCTTTCGTCTCGTTCTGTCCTGTTTTAATCTTGTTCTCTGACTAATTTCTCGATCATTGAGTGGTGAATGGAGAGGTGTGTGTGATGAATAATGGATACTAGTGGGGTGTAAGGGCAAGGGAGTCATTGTTGGGTAAATAATAGAGGACGACATCTTATAAAACTTATCATGTATCCCAATGAATGTTGTTTGGGGCCTTATTGTCCCGAATCGAAACAACGGTGAGATGTGTACGCATGAGCGTCTTTCGTGATGTGATGACTCGAAAATCATATTTGATGTTTTATCTAACCTTCAAAATTGTATAAATGCATAGAGGTTATAGTACATAAGAGTTCGAGTTGAAATACTTGTCTCTAACTAGGTCTGAGTTACCTAATTAAACCCACAACGTATATATGCCCAAGGAAAGTGTATGGCATATCCTTCTGGTTACAAATTTTTGCATATGTAATTTGATGTAACGTGCATTTGGAGAAAGCATCGTGTCCAACATGGTGAACATCAAATACACAATAACGCATCGTGTCCAATTTTGCATATGTAATTTGTTGTACTTGTATCAAATACACAATAATTTATCTATCCTTAGCTAGTATCTTCATGAACATCATGTTCCTTATCATAAGTCATAACGCAAGTTACTGAAATGAACATATTCATAAGATAATATCAGGGTCTTAAACAAAAGAAAAAAAATATCATAGATCCTTGCAACCCCACATTTGTACTGCACATAGAGTGATCAATTTGTACAACATTCATACTCAATAACCTTCTATTAGGAAGCGGGAAAAAAAGCATAAATAATAGATTATACATAATCTCATCTTACAAATGCTATTAACAACTCGAATTATGAGCAACCACCACGATCAAATCCAACTCCATTGACCAAAACACCTTCCATGTTAAGGGATTGAATAATGATGATGAACATTAAAGAGGAGTTTTCAATGCCATCGCACACGTATGCATATGCTACATACTCTATTGACAAACTTGAAATCAATTGAAGCGGCCGTGTGGCAACTCCATACTTAAGTTAAGTATGTCTTGTCCTACTTTTTTTTTTCTTAATATTTGGCACTTAAAAAGTGGGTATTCGTATTGATTCCCTATCACCAAAGAAAGAAAAAAAGTGATTATAGTGCATTTAGCAATACATTGATTATCCTTTTATTATTTTACTTAATAATAATACCACACAAAATATTCGGTTTGGTATTGATATTGGGAAAAGCTTGACTAATGATCAATCGCTTCCTAATCAAACCCTTATGAGTTGGATCATTTGTCCTAAACTGTATGGTTTACGTCTTACTAATCATGGGAAAATGAAAGCACCGATGATTTGTCGTTTAGCTCTCTCTGATCAATTCGTTTTTTTCCACCTTTTGGCTGTCTGACCCTGATAAGCCATTACATCCGCCCGCCTGTCCTGAGTTTAGCTCGGCTAGTCAACAGTGCCAAATTTCAAATGATACTTTATTTCACTACAATAGTACTACGGAGGAGAATCAACGGTACATAAGCAGTTTACCATTATGATAATTTGAGTTTATTGTCAAAAAATACATTTTATATCGTCTTTACATGCTTTTTTCACCATCCATAGTTGTCAAATGAAAGATCGATCAAAATGCTGAGAGTTATTGTAGATTAACGATATTGAGTAGTAGATCAGTCCTGTATTTTGAGTTATTGAAAGATAACAGTAATGAGTCTTACATTATATCATTCTCTTACACTCGGTAAGAGGTTTGAATATAATAGTTTTACAACCCTATGTTTTGCTAATTTGACCTCAAATAGCTACCTGGTGATCTTAATTATCAACGTCACTCTCGTTTATTGCCTAGCTTGATCCCCTGAAGCACATCAATATAAGAGCATTTCGCGAGGGCTGCCAATTTGAGCGGATGAATGTTAGGTCTTCTACTTCACTACATGTAGATTATTGTTCGTTAACATTAATAAGTCGTAGGTTTTTATAAAATTCAATAAGATCGCATTGGGGTTCGGTTAGCCTGACTACCCCTAAAGGGGTAGTGATTTTTGACACCCCCTTTATGATTGGTCAATTTTATTTCCAATCATTGGCATGTATTAATTAAACTGGTTTTTTTATTTTTTTAATCTTGTAATTTCGGGTCTCTCACCACATTGGAAAAGAGAAAGAATCTGGGGAAAAACGAAATCACCCCCATTAATTACATAATTAATTTCTCTCACTGGTACATTAATTACACGTACCACTCCACTGGTACACGTACCACTCCACTGGTACACGTACCACTCCACTGGTACACGTACCACTCCACTGGTGCGAGCAATCCACAAGGTAGGTTAGAGTGAGAACAATACCAGTGCAATGATATTTTTCATAACAATGATAAACAATAACGGAGCAACAATGCAGTACCACTTCAATGATACAAATACCACTCCACTGGTACACGTACCAATCCAGTGGTACACGTACCAATCCAGTGGTACACGTACCACTCCACTGGTACACGTACCACTCCACTGGTACACGTACCACTCCACTGATACGTTTCCTCTGCCGCCGTCTTCCATATGCTCGACGTTAGAGACGAAATCGTCCAGATCATCTTGATGATTTCCGACCGTGTGAAGTGATGAAGTCGATGTCGCATGAGAGGAGACTCGAGGGGAACGGAGGGACGGGAGAGGGTCAGCGGAAAGGGAGGCAACGATAAGTTGGGCCACTGATGGAAGTTGGCCGACGGAGGGTGGACCGCCGGAGGGAGGGTTTGCTGGACTGAGAAGACGCCGGGAGAGGGTTCTGGTGGAAAGAAATTTGAAAGGAAGAGAAGGGGAGATGAAAGATTGTTGTTTCCCGTGTATCATTATTATGGGAACTTTCCCATGCATCATTATTATGAGAATTTTCCCAATAAAGCAATAATAATGACAACTTCCCAATAAAACAATAATCATTAATACTTACCCAAAGATGAAGGACACGTGGATAGCTGCAGGAGGGGGTGTCAAAAACCCAACCCCTTTTGGGGTAGTCATAGTATCCTGCCCCGATCGCATTGCTTGGAAACGATTAATGTGTTGAACTAACTCAATTGATAACCCAATTCGATATTCACTCTTTAGTCGACGTTCACTTTCAACTATCTATTTAATCATTGGGATTTAGGAGAAGGAAAAAACAAAACCTTTGACATTTTTCTTTTGTCATGTATATATAATCCAAATACCCAAGCACTAAAAAATCAAGTTGGTGATTGGGGAATTCTAAGATAATTCGATGCGCGATGGAGATTATATATCCCAACAACTTCAAATATTTGAATGAGGACAAGTTGAACTAATAAATCAAATATTTTTCTTGCCACCGAATTAATTAATAATATTGAATATATTGCTTCTGCCCCAAGGTTTCTTCATGAAAACGATGGGACGTGATAATTTAATCAATTAGCCCACAGCATATGTAACAACGAAATTCAGTATGCTCTAAATAAAAATTCAGTACCCAACACACACACAGAAAAGCCAAATCAGTTGACCAACTTGTAACTCAATAACGTACAAAATTATTTCTAGCATATCATCCATCTAGATGGGATCACTTGATTTCATCCCTTAATACTATACTGTTAAAATTATTCGGGAAAAAGAAAAACTACATGAAGATTCTCGTATTACACATTAGGGTGAAATTAAAAACTGACTTTGATTACCAAATTTTATCAAAATGATCCCGGCCGGGCATTGAAGTTGCCTGCCCGTGCACAGACAATTGAAATCGACTCGAAACAGATTCATTTGAAATTTTTCAAGCCAAATTGATCCATTCGAATTTTCTATCGACAAACAAACGAGTAAACTTGATAAAATCGTGTCATTACAAAATAATTTTTTCCTAAATTAATTCGTTAGGAATATGATTTCCAATCCAAACCACCCCACATATCTCCATAATTGAGCGTTGATAAACCGCGGCGTTCCATACTCTAGTTGTCGCGACACCGAATCACCCTAGTGAACAATGTAATGAGTTTATTTAGGGTGCGCTTATGGTGACATGCATGTCACTGTAACTTGTACTTTTCGGTCAACCTCAATTAGGATTAGGTCGACCTAATATGTTGTTTCAGTGTAAAAACAGTTTCATGATGCCTACTTTGAAGATTCATATCTTACAGTTGGCTCGATGGAAATTGGAGACTAATCACTTGTTTTGAAGCTGGAGTGTCCCCCTACACATTGAAGTGCTTGGGAGCTTGATAGGAAGTCCAGAGGACCATTTTTGAACCTGATCAAAAAGTTATGCCAAAACTGAGAAACTGTCTGAAAATGGCCAAGTCTGGGGGAAAGTGTTTGTGAAGCCTACTTCGGAGCTCAATTCGAGAAGCATGGATGAGATTCGAGTCCAGGGGCCTCTACCACATGAAAGTAGGTGTATGTTTGTCTACAAAGTCAAGGCATTGGATGAAATATTGGATATCTGGAAGGCTTCAAACAAAAGGCTAGCTCGAAGTTGCTAGGAATAGTAAGCTGCCTTCTAGCACAAGAGTGAAAACGACAGATTAGGTCGACCTAATCCTATATGAGGTCGA